TCCTCCTCCTCCTCCTCCTCTTCTTCTTCTTCTTCTTCTTCTTCTTCCTCTTCTTCTCCTTCTCCTCCTCCTCCTCCTCCTCTTCTTCTTCTTCTTCTTCTTCTTCTTCTTCTTCTTCTTCTTCTTCTTCTTCTTCTTCTTCTCCTTCTCCTTCTCCTCCTCCTCCTCCTCCTCCTCCTCCTCCTCTTCTTCTTCTTCTTCTTCCTCTTCCTCTTCCTCTTCCTCTTTCTCCTCTTCTTCTTCTTCCCTTTCCTTTCCCCCCCTCCTTCTGATCCTGATGTATTGCTAGTTTTTAAAAGAAAAAGTGAAAACGAACAAGCAAAAGGGGGAGGTGGAAATAAGCGATGCAGAGATTTAGTGTCAGTAAGTGGGCAAAGGAGTGGCCAAGGTTGTACAATTAGCAGTCTTGTATATCGCTGTTCAGAGAATTTAGCAAAACCAGAACCACATTGAGTTATTTTCACAAGGCTCTTAGAAACAGTTTTGAAACTCTGAGCTGAGTGCTGAGAGTCAAAAGAACATATATATTTTTTGCTGTTTGTTAGCCTTCCAAAAAAAGAAAAGGAAAGGAAAAAAGAAAAAGAGAGAAAGAGAGAGAGAAAGAAAGAAAGAAAGAGAGAGAGAGAGAGAGAGAGAGAGAGAGAGAGAGAAAGAAAGAAAGAAAGAAAGAAAGAAAGAAAGAAAGAAAGAAAGAAAGAAAGAAAGAAAGAATAAATATTTGTAGCTCAAGGTTGACATGAGGGGTCCTTGGTGCTCTCTGAGCTTGGTTGCGTTCTTGCAGGCCTTTCATTAGCCAAGCCAGGTAACATCATCACTGCTAGTACCAAAGACAAGGAAGGAAGGAAGGAAGGAAGGGAGAAAGAGAAAAGAAAGAAAGAAAAGAGAAAGAAGGAAGGAAAGAAAGAAAGAAACAACGATTATAACCCAGCATTTACGTTTCTAACTTTCCCTTCACTGCTCCCAAGTAGCGTATAACGTCAGCCCTTCTTGGTGAGAGAAATAGGTGGGCTGACTTCCATCACCTCTGCGTCTCGCCCTCACAAGATGCAGGCTATGATTTTCCCAAGTCCAGTTTGCACCCGGAGCGAGTGATTTTTCCGGAGGAGGCCTCATAAGCCAGGCTAATGAACCCTCCGTGCTAGCAAGGCACATACCACTCGAAAGCAAGGAACTGTGCAAATGAAAACGCCCCGTCTGCTTTTTTTTCCCCAAGTAAATTAACTTGACCTTTTCCCCTCCCTTCTTTCTCTGATGGAGAAGTTCCTGCTTTTAGCGATAAATCTCTGCTTTCTAGACTCCTGCAGAGAGCTCTGGTAGAAGAGGAAAAAGAGAGAGAGAAAGAGAGAGAGAGAAAGAGAGAGAGAGAGAGAGAGAGAGAGAGAGGATGAAAGAAAGAAAGAGAGAGAGAGAGACAGAGACAGAGAGAGACAGAGAGAGGGAGTGAGAGAGAGAGAGAGAGAGAGAGGATGAAAGAAGAAAGAAAAAAAGAAAGAG